TAAACATCAAAACATAGCCTGGCTAATTACAGTCATTAGCACTCAATTTTTGGGCTTATATCATTATTAGGAGTTATCGAAAGTTTTTATGAGGTATCCCAGACCCCAGTGTGTTGTTTACGTGACTCTCCTGACTTCCTCACACACCAGTGTGCTGTCTAAGCAATCGTTCTGTGGATATCGTATCCCAGTTTTTTCTTTGTTATTTTGAAACTTCGAATGATTCAGGTGTGGATTTCTAATGTGATATTTGTTAATTAGTGTTATTTTCAATTCAGACAGTAATGTATGGAAAATATTTTTTTTTAATATGGCAACTACCAAAAAAATGTATTATTCTCCTGAAGAAATCCATAAACTGTTATGGGAGTTCGAAGATGATGAAAAGATGCATGGAGAATATTAAATAAAAATGGCACAGTAACGTTTGGTAAAATGTGTCATTTGTGTTAGCAGCAAGAAAAAAAAATATAGGCTGTCTTTCCGATTTTTCTTTGGAATGTTGAGCCATTCTGGTTTAGTTAACTGGAAAAAGAAGATGAAATGGAGAAATTATTTATTTGGATTAGGCTATTCATTACTTCAGTCCTGTTTGAAAAGAATACTGCAAGTGAAGACACACGAACAGTGGATTACAACTTAAAAGAAATTTTGAGAATTAAAATGAAAAATTAACGACTACTGTTGAAGTACAAGCCAAATATTTGTTTTACACTAGAAAGAAAGATATGCAGCCATAATTGGTGTGTCATCAATGTAAGAGACCTATCTACAATGAAAACATAGCGACAGTTTGCTTGGATTGTTGTTAGTGAGTGGCCACATAAATCGCCACAACTAAAGGTTTTATCATCTTTCAAGTAAAAAACTATGTTTTTTCTTAATGTATTTTCAATAGAAAAATTTTGATCCTTTTTGATTTTTTAGCGATGAAAATGTCAACTTTTTACATTATGTTAGCATATAAAATATATTTTCTTATGTTACCTTGAATTTATTTATTTTTTTGTTTTTCTGATTGTTAAGCTTATTCCTGAAAAGTATTTGAGTCCTCCAGAGCATGAAAATTAAATTTTATGATTATTTCAATTTTGGGGTGTGATAAACCATGTAGTTAGTATTGCCCAAATGCGAGACCGAGACGAGTCTTGGTCTTGCAAACTAAGTCTTGGTCTTGCGCAAGACTCTAGCAACGGTCTTGCTTATTAGTTACTTATTAGCTTATTACTATAGAGATATTACTGTATTTTTTTAGATAGGAGAAACTTAACTAAGCCCGAATGAAAAATTAGAGGAGTTTAATACAAAAGTATATTGGTTTTACCAATTATTAACATATAATAACTAAGATTGTCAAGTATTAGTAACTATTTTGCCTCAATTTTTATTAAAATAATCGATTTTTTTTACCAGTCCTGGTCTTGGTCTTACAACAGTTAGGCGCCCTTGTTCTTGGTCTTGCGAATTGCAAGACCAAGACCAATTTTGGGCAACACTACATGTAGTACATATTAATAAACCGCAAATATGTGTACTACGGGAATTGAAATAGAAGACGGTATTAATTAAAATATAAATTCCCAATGACAATTATGTACATAATATTGTCGGAAAGAAGGTCAGGGAATATCATCAACAGTTCTAAGAGGAACTGCAGCAACTTTACCATATTAAAAAAGGCCCTGTTGCTCTTCATAATGTCTAGAAATGAACTAGTACCAGAGGAAACGATTAGAATTTTTAAGCAATTGGAACTTCTCGATTATATCCTGAAAAGTCAAAAAGCTGTGCTTCTAGGGACAACTAGTGTTGTCCACAATCGGTCTTGGTCTTGCACTATGCAACACCACGACCAAGGCCGTCTAACTGTTGCAAGACCAAGACCAGGACTGGTAAAAAAATCGATGATTGAATAAAAATTAACGCAAAATAGTTAATAATACACGACAATCTTAGTTAATATATTTAAATAATTGGTATAACCAATATAGTTTTGCATTTAATTTCTCTAATTTTTCATTCGGGCTTAGTTAGGTTTCTGCAATCTAAAAAATTACAGTAATATCTCTATAATAATAAACTAATAAGTAAGTGCGAAACTGTTGCTCAAGATCAAGACCATGACCAAGACTGAGTTTGCAGGACCAAGACTTGTCTCGGTCTCGCATTTGGGCAACACTATGCGAATACACCAGTATTGTTAGAAAGTTTTTAAATATTGCTAAAACAGATTCTAAAATCGGTGAGTCCGGGTAGGTGAATATTGTCAGCAATGGCTGAGTAACTGTGAAATTCTGAAATAATAATATCCTTTATTTGTTCCGTGACAATACCCTTCAGAATAAAAAACTTTTGGGCTTTAGAGCCTCATATGTAAATAAAAAATAATAACAAAATAACTATATAGAAATAATAATAAATTTAAAAGATAAGGATACGCGAAATAATAATAATTGAAAACTGACTAATAATGACTCCTGTTTTACAATTTTTAGGGAGCTGGATGGATAGGAACATCGAAATAAATTTTTAAAAAATCGATATCTCGTGCCGCAATAATTTTAATCTAGGTAAATAGAGGGTTGTAAATATATTCTAAAGATACTCATAGTATTAATAATTTAGTATTAATAATCATAGTATTAATTCAAATCTACCGAAATTTTAGTGAAATATCAATTTTTAACAATAAGTTAAAATCTTAGATTTGCAATAGTTTTAATAGCAACTATTAAATATTTATATATTCCTTGAAACAAATTTAAAAAATCAATTTATAAATCTTTTTCAATAAGATAAATTACCAAACTTATTGCTAGGAACTAAGAAACAAATAATTAAAAAGCATAAATGTTTAAAATAAAAAGAATTACATTACAATTTATTATGAAAATGGTCCATTTCTAAGATCTAGAGAAACTATAATCAAATTACTTAACGTAATGAAAATGAAAAAATAAAAAGGAGAAAATTAAAACTGAATTAATGATGATTGAAATCTATTAAACTTATTAATATTTTCAACATAAACCAACAAATATTTTAAAAACTTATTAATTGTAAAATATAGAAAAAATAAAAACCTCTCAGCTGTTTTGTTTAAAAATCTTCTCATCATTGAGCGAGGATTCCTAGAAGGCATTTTTAATATAATGTTTTATTATTTTTGGAAAAAAAATAATTAAATTCGATTTTTAATAGTTAAATTTTACTATCAATATTTCGATATTTCTCATTAAACTATCGGACTAAAATATGGATATATATTTATTTAAAAAATTAATGTATTAATATCGATATCCCAAGAAATATTAGTTATTTACAATGCGTTCGATACATTTTTAGTTAATTACTCCTTAATTGTTAATTACTAATAGTACTGAAACTAACTAATGAGATGATTATGTTTTCAAGGGCAAGGAGTATGAGGAGAATCAGCACAGCGAATACAAGTTTACCATACTGCATGGTTTATTTAATAAAATAAGGTTAATAAACTGTTTTTGAATTTTCGCGACACCCCTCGTTTGCGTAATTTCGAAAGTTCCAGTTTAAGGAAGTATTGAAACAATCGGCAAGCTTTTACATCATTCCTTTTACTTTGGTTTGTTCTTCGTAACGTAGCTTGTCCGGTTTTAAGATAAATAAAATGGATCAGAGTACAAAAGTTTAAAAAAAAAAAATTAATCTATATAAAAAAAAATCGTTTTTATTCATTAACTAATATATTAGGATATCTGTACTGTACCAATGAAAGACATGTATTTATGTATTTATTTATGTATTTTAAGTTTAATATCACAGCACTGGCAGGTCTATGGGGAGGGAGTAAGCATTTGGGCAGAAGCCTCCCCAAAGTACAAAAATAATATTTTTTGCATTGGTAAATATTTTACTATTGGTACATAGGTGATCTGAGCAAAATACTTAAACAATTTTTTTTAGTTATAAAGTGTGTATCTTAGCTACTAAATGTAGGCACGTGTCAAGAAAAATAATTGTCGAAAAGCATTGTTCCTGTAATTACTACTATTTTTTTGCTTTTAACAAGTCTTTAAAGAGTATTTTTCATTTCAAATAGGTTTTGTTTTTCTTCCGGAATAATATATAAGTGTAAAAAAATAAAAAAACAAACAAATATTTTTGAATCGACAGTTAATATGTGGTTCGACTAAGATTGCATGATTAATTTATATTAAATAATATAAAAGTAGACATTGTTAATGACCTACAATCTGGAGGTCGGCAAACTTTGTCTATTTAATTAAGTACTTAAGAATAGAATATTTGGAATATTTTTGCCAAGGGCCAGGAGTTTGTTTTTACTTATTTACTTATTGTTTTTAATTTTTTTTTTTATGATTGTATATTTTTCTTCTTGATATTCTTCTTGATAGGATTCTTCTTCATCAATTTCTTAAGAAGGCGAGGAAGCAACAGGGACACACACAAAAAAGAAGAAAAACAGTCTCAAAGACCCTGAAAGATCTGAGTCGAGTTAAGCTTACCTTTGATGAACTATATTTTTCCTATTGGCTAATTGATACACAATTATTCAGTAAGTCTTGTAGTATACATTATACAGAAAAGTAGTGCGTACCATTTCACGGGAACTAATCTGTCCGAAAAAAAAAAAAAGAAGTGATCACATAGGCTAATTTATCATTTCCCATAATTCGAAAGCGTTACGCAACTTTTCTGCGTATCCCGCTCACATCATTAAGAGTGGTTACGGCTGAGTTTAGGCTTGTGCAATTAATTAGCATTGTCTGATTGCGGCTGTCTAATTGTTGAGTGCAGTTGCTAATGCGGGCGTTGCTGTCTGGAGGAAAAAACATGGAAAACGTTTTCCTGCACTGTTACGTCTGCGGCCTCTATTGCATGCGTAGACGATTAATAATAACTCGACAACCAGCCGCTACTGTAACGCTAAACACAATATTGATACTTTTTATCGATTTGTGTATCGACTTGGGGTTAGTAAACGCTTTGTTGCTAGCTCACTGTTTTTTTTTCTCACTATTGGTTTCTGTAACTTGTTCAAAGGCGTAAAAGAAGGCCGCCGGGAGAAAAACGGCTTTTCCGACCGCCATCATGGACGGTGGGATAAAGGATTTTTTTACAAAGAAAAGGAATAATCGTGAATGACAAAACGTACGATTGAGAAAGCTCAGACAATGAAGATCAATCGTCATGGTGAGTTTTTTTTTTTCAGCCGACCAATGGAAAGAAACCCTTCCTTTTGAGCTAGACAAAGAAAGTTTATCTCCAACTTGGACACTATTTTCCTCCTCAGAGACAAAGCAGGACCGCTCGAGAGGTGGTCGGCTTTCCCTAATCGGAAAAGAATCATTTTCTAAACCTGCTCCTTCTGAATTGAAAATAACAAAAAAAAAAAAAAAAAAATTATAAAACTAAATAAAAAGATGCTAATCACGAAGTAGAGTATGGAGAACATAACAATCAACAGTGTTTAATTCTCATTTCCGCATTGAACATCCCTACAATTTACGTAATAACGATATAATTTACAAACGTAATGAAATTCAATTCATTTTATTATACTTTCTACTAATATATGTCATATCATTTATAAATATACTAATTAAGTTACAATATTGCATAAAGTGATAATCAACATTTTGAATGACAATATTACATTTTCTAGCCCTTTCAATCAAGTTACAACTTATATTAGTGGATGAACAAAATTTTCAGGAATTTCAGTCATCAATATATTTTCATTGGGTTAGCCCAGTGGTCGGCAAACTTATTAGCCAAAGAGCCCAAATATGTAAATTACAACAATTAAAAAAAAAAAAAATGGGAACCAAATCTGCTTCTTTAGTAAACTTTTATTGCACTAAATAAGTAGTACACTAAATAAAACTAAATTTCATACTTAATAAATATTTATAATGCGAACAATGTGCTTGCATCTCCTTGGAAAGTTTGAGTAAGTCAGGTTTGTATGTTGTTGTTTTTAATTTTAGGTAAGTTCTCATCAAAAAGACGATTTCTCAGTTTATTCTTGATAATGTACATGCTTGAAAAGATATATGTAGAACTGAAAAGGGAAAGAACAGCAAACGCGAGCTTTTCCAGCTGATCGGAAGAGTCAGGAATATTATTCCAAGCGTTGCAAATGATCATGTCTTCCTTCTCCAGGTCATTCAAAGCAGACCACTTGTGTTGTGAACTAATATCACATTTTTTCTTCTCCAATATTTCCAATTCAACACGAAGTCGTTCGAATTTAGAGCGCCACATCTCCTTGTTTTTTGAATCCAGCAATTGTATCTCAAAACTACCAATGTCAATTTCAAAAGGAGAAAATTCCAACTCAGTTATAGTAGCATTAAGAGGATTTTTGACAAATGCTAAAGTTGCTCTGCTGTTTTTAAATTTCTGAAACCTGCTGATAAATGCTTCCCTCATATTTAAAATTATTGTTTTAAAATGGTGTTGATCAATAGAGGAATTATTAAACGCGATGTTCGTTACGTATTTTTATAACAATATAAAATTTTAATTACCTATCTATCTTATAACTTAAACAAAAAATTATACATGTTCTCGATTTATAGAAGAATTTTAATTTATCAAAATAAGATGTAATTATTTTCTTACCGAGTTTTTTTTTAAATTAAAATATTATTGCGCCTTCCGTGGATATTTGTGCCAGAGCTGCCTGCACTTAAAGAGTCAAACAGCCACATTCGGCTCTGGAGCCGCACTTTGCCGACCACTGGGTTTGCCGAGGTTTCTCATGAGTTCTTGTCACGACTTCCAAAGGATAGTCCTGAAAATGACCCACATGTTTGGATAGCAACGTCGGCTAATCCAATAAAAATATCTTGATGAGTGAAATTCCTGATTTTTTTTTTCATCCATATAGTTGATCAGTCGACTACTTACCCATCTCTAAAACTTATATTAATCACACTAGTATTTTGGTCGGTCAATAAAAAAAAACTTCCAGGCATTTGTTCCGAAGTTTATATATGTACATTTATATATCCTCAGCACACTGCAAAAAAGTTATTAAGTATATTTTAAGTTTTTGTGAATTTCGACGTTGTTTGTAGATGCAAAAACACAGTGCATCAAAGTGACACATACTTTATTATAGATCAAAAATAGTTACAATATAAGTACAAAATATTCATCAAATTACTTAGTGATTTTTTAAATTTTTGTAATAACCTGACGATTTGTATAGTTGTAAGTACAAGAATATTTGTGTAATTATAGACATGACTTACTGAATTTTCATTTTTTTTTTTTCATTTGCAGACATAATAGGCCTAAAGAAAACTTTCGTTCTTCTACATAAATATATATTTTTAATCAAGTACAGAGTTTATAATTCATTAAAAGGAATTTAATCATCAAAAGAATCAGTAATTAAATTTCTTTATGAGTAACAGAACTTAAGGAACTGATTTCATACTCAATCTGTTACAAAAAGTATCTTTGAAACCTTTTTTTTTAGTTTCAAAAACCTTAGACGTTTATTTAAATTAAATCGGCAATAAAAACCATTTTGCACATACTATAATGAAAATGGAATCGACAACGCGATAACGCGATAACTTGACTAATGGCCCGGGGAAATCCTTTGAAGTAAAGTTGCAAAATCTTTAAACAAGTTAATAATCAGCATATTAAAAAAATATCAATATTTATTAAATAATAATGAATATGATGGATATCTAATTTTTTTTAAATATACATATTTATAGTTTATTTAATTAAAAATAAAACATATATTATTCAATTTAAAAATGAATTAAAATCGTTTATTTCATATAGCCACCTAAAGGCAATTATTTAAATGTTTTCATCAAAATAGGTATTTCTTAAACAAAAATCAAGCAAAAAAAAAATTAAAATATAGTAACCATGAAATAAAAACTGTTATTTTATGGTTATTTATTTATTTTTTATAACAGAAGAATGAAGTAAAATAAACGACAACTAAAATACAGTGAATGCTTATGATTTATTATACACTTCGTCGCATCTAATCAACGCTGATTAATGTATTAGTGACATAAATATGCTGTCATAAAAATATGGTGAGAAATGAATGGAATGAATAATTACAATAACAAATTAACAAACTTCACATATAATTACTTATTAGACTTCATTAATATATAAAATTTTGATATGTCCATTATGAAACCCAAATAACGAAATACAGTAATTAACAAGTAGTGTATAAAACGTATGAATGACTATATATTTATATTTTATATATACCATATTTTTCTCTACTGTACAATTATACAGAGTGTCCCATAAGTTGAGGGAAATATTTGAAAGGCTAATAGTAGGTATCAAGATCTTCAAAAAAGTTTATTTAAATAATGGCCTGATTTCCAGTATAAAAGTAGGAAATTCAAGATTTGTGATTTTTTATGAGTCATGTTTTTTGTTGAATAGAAAGCGATAACTAAAAATATGTATAACTTACGTAATCAACAATCGTTCCACAGTAAACAAGATAAAATGTACTTTTAACGAAAGTAGAGTTTGTCATTGTTGGAACCATTTAAAGTGGGCTATTCAACAGCTGAACTCAGCTAAGTTCCGTTTAAAAAAAACCATAAACTATTTGCGATCTTTTCTTATCACCCTCAAACTATACTACTATATACCCCACGTTTAGAAATTTTTTTTAGGGAAATATTATATAAGGGAGAATATTGAAATACACCTCAAGTTGTGTAAAAATATTGTGATTTGATATCCTATCACCTAAAAGTAACCATCAAAAATGACTAAAATAAATTATTAAAAAACATTAATTTCGTTTTTTTCATGATTCTTTAACTTAGTAGTAAATATTAGGATTGAAAATATTTAGTTGGTCGCTTATAAATACGTATCATTATCTATAATAGATATTTTGATAAACATAAAAAAAACAACATAGTTTCATTATCACTTTAGATGATAAATATACGAAAAACTATTATTTCAAATAAATGAAAAGTGTACTTATGCATTTCTATTTAATATCATACATCCCAGATCATAGAAAAAAAATAAATTATAGTAATTTTTGCTTAGAATATGGTTACTTTTAGGTGAAACGATATCAAATCTCATAATTTTTTTTTACAAAATTTTACAAAACCTCAACTTAATTAACATGGAGTCAAAGCTTATTAAACCAGGAAGTTTTTCTAAAAGTGGGCTATCTGTAGTATAGTTAGAGAATGATAAATAAAATCGAAAATTATTTATAAATATTTTTTAAACGGAACTGCGTTCAGATGCTCAATAGTTCTCTTTAAATGGTTTCAACAATGATAAACTCTACTTGGGTTAAAATTAAATTTTATCTCGTTTACTGTGGAACAATTGTTAATTATTTTAGTAACGAATAAGTTGTTTCACCATTATTCTGTATATAATTTTAAGTATTTTGTGTAAATATATTTTCATTTGATCTGTGCAAAGTTAGTTTACAACATGTTTTATGTTTTATTTTATGTATTTAATATAAGGGATATTTTGGGCAGAAGTAATCCTTTCTGTTCAACTTTTTTGATTTCAGAGGAATTTATAAGTTATTTTTATTATTATATTCTATAAATCCTTCACTAGGTTCCCTAAACAATAAAATTTACTTGGTTACTATCTGGGTTAGATTGTTATTGTAGAACCTCTTATTGCATCTGTATATCGATACATGTTCATCCGTTGAAACTAATAAGGATGCGGGTATCATTACCAATATTCCTCCGAGCCTTCTGGTAGTAGCACTAAATAAACCGATTAGTTTTGATTATTACATAAGCAATTAGAACCCCCCGTTCGGAAAACAGCTGTAAATGATCCACTTCTTGTGCACTATTATTATTGACTGTTCATATTAAATTATTTACTATCTCGCTTAAAAGACAATAATCAGAATTATTCTTTTATAATTTCGACATCAGTAGATAACTATTTTTCGATAGATTGTATCAAGGAAGTGTTATCCAACCACAGACTCCAAATTATTTAATGCACTTAATCATCTAGATCTTTTATAACAAACTTAAATTAACATATCTTATATTTAAAATTAAATATTTTTACATGATGATAAGGTTTTTTTTTTATAGTTTGTTTAATACATGAAATTAAAAATTTTATTAAAATGAAAATACAACCAGTAAATGTGAACAAAGAAATATATTGACATGAAAGACTTCTAGAGAAACTACCCAACCCATTGAAAACCAACATATCTAAAAACTATTATACTTAACATTATTAATTATATTTAGCTCTAATCAGGTGGTCCCGATGCCATCTTTTTTTCAGACGCAACTTAGGGTTATTAGGCATCGAAGAGGAAGCTAGTTGAAACGAAAGGTTTCAGATGGTTCTGAAGTTTTATTATGGAAGGATAGATATCTACTTTGAGTCAAATTGGAAACTTATGGAACATAAAGGTGGCAATTGATGGTTATATTTGTGACAAAGCAAGGAAAGTTGAGGGTTTTACGAAGGCTTTTGGACAGTGAGGATTGGATACGAGAAGAATTCTACGATTTAGTGGAGTTCCAAAGCTTAACTCCGTATTCCCAATTAGGCCTTATCATAGTCATATGTGTGAGCCTTTTGTAATTAATAGAAATCTCAAAGCGTTTGTTTACTGTAGTCTTGTTTGCAGAAGATTCCAAGCTAGACGCTTATCCAGGTGCAGGTATCGGATCTGTTTAACAGGGATAAATGGGATATTATTAATATTAATAATATTTTTATAATATTGTTGAAGGAGTATTATAAGACCTGAGGTCTTAGGTTTACGACGAAGGGTAGAAGTTATATGATGGGATTATTTTAATCATCCAGTTTTTACACCTTGTTCAAGCTTTATATGATTAATTAAATCGCATTATATAATTATTTTGGCTATGTTAATTTGGTTGGGTATTTTAAATTTTTTAATTTATCAAGTTGGCAATGTTTAACTTCCTTTAGAATTCTTCATTCTGACGTTTCAGCAATACTTTTCCCATTTTCAGAACTTTTGCTGTATGAACATCAAATATGTCATTTATATTTTTGTTTACGTTTCCGATTATTGCAACATTCACTAGACAAACGCTCTAAACTTCCGATTAATTACAAAAGACTCATATACATGATTATAATAAGGCTTATTTGGACTTACGGAGCTAAGCTATGGGGCTCCACTAACCCATCGAATCCTTACAATCTAAAATCCTTCATAAAATCCTCAATGCTCCCTACTTTGTTAC